CAGTCATTTTATTATACATTATCCCGAGCAATATTCAAATATACAAAGTGTCCGGTGACTTTTTTCCACTGAGTGTACCTGAGACTAGAGAGAAACTGAAGCTGAGGACAAAGAGGAAGAAATGGGAAGGTGAGGTTGCCAAGAGCCAATACATTAGTTCTAAAAATTATTATGATAACAATAAGTATAAGTGTTGGGTTTAGGAAAAGGAACTGACTATTTAATATGTAAAGGCCTAGGATCCCAACATATTTTCATGATTTATTCCTTCCTCTTACTCTTAGTTTCTGTTCCTGCCCTTATTATCTTGGCTGACCAGAAAAATATTAACTATATGGTACTTTTGAAAGATAATAAAACTGTTTGGAACATTCCGCTGGGATTGTGATCGAACATTACTCTTGGACCAGAAACTGTTACCTTTATATTTCTCCATATAATCTGATAAAGTTTATGTTTTCTGATCGACTGTGAGCTTCCATGTTCTATAGTGCTGATGTTCGTGTAGGAAGGTTGGAGTTTTGGATGGGGTATTGGCTTTACCAACCAGCTTCTCCAAAGGGAAAAGGGTTGCACACGCAAGGGCGTACTTCACATACGGAACGGGTGTTGTAAATATTTACGTCAGCTTGATTTAGAGCAGAATCTAACGAGTGCTGAACAAGAATCGACCTACAGAAAACTTGGAAATATTACGAGGAACCAGAATCTGCTAGAGATCATGCGAAGAAGCTGAATAAGGAACAAGGAGCTATCTGTAAGGTATATAGAGTCGACGTGTTGATAAAACATCCAGAGCAGTTGCGTCGCTTTGGACTCAATATTAAACAAGAAAAACATTGTGCGACCGCTGAACATGCTTACGTGCTACTACAACAAGTTCGAGCAAAAACATGTCGCAATAGGTATGACTGATGCTGTTGTTAGAGTACAAAATAATAAAGTTGGTAAGCATATCTCTCATTATTGCTAGAAATAATGAGACATTGGGTTATTGATGTTCTAATAACTGCTTGCGTAAAATTTGGCAAGAATATTGCGTGTGTTTTTGTTGTTTTTGCAATTAGTTCCTACCACTCAAGTTATCTTGCAGAAAAGAAAGTGTTCATTGGAGAAATTAGATAGAGGACCACCTCAAACTCCGGCATCTTTCCGTTGTGCTTGCATCCAATCATGTGCAGTAAATTTATTTTTTACTTTTAGGTTTTTGAATGACAAAAAAAATCGTGTATCGTAAGGTAAATGATGGCGTCTCATCAGCTGACGAATCAGATTTAGATTATCCAAAGAAACTTATGGTTGCACGTTTTAGCCTGAGTTAAAGGCCGAAATATCATCTGTCTACAAGGAGGACAATGAAAATGTTTCTGATGATAGTTTTGACGAAGAAGATATGGTTGAATTTGCAGACATAACGCTTTTTGTTCAAAGCTGATGAAAAAAAAATTGGAATTAAAAATAATGAAAGTGTAAGAGATCGCCTTATAATTATGGCAAAAAAAGCGATCACAAAATGGAATAGCAGACCCAAAAATATTGAGTATATAAAGTAAATACAATAATAACATTTTATTAATGGTATTTCTATAATTTATTAACTATTTTGTAAACGTATGTACAGGTTGGGACTGTCCTCTATCATACAGTGTGTAACAAAAAAAAACGGATATTTTTATTTTGTCATTGCTCCTCAACTGGTTAGCCAATTTTCATAAATAATGGTTCATTTGAAAGATAAAA